CCCGCCACAGCCGGCACGGGGAGAGCCGAGCCAGAACGGGAGGCCAGGCGGAGCAGGATGTCAGACGGCGCTGCCCGCGCAGATGGACTGAGTTCGCGGTCCTCCCTGAATGAATGGTCCGTAACGCCATGGAGCAACTTTTTTTGGTCAGCGGCTCCGAGGCAACGGACAGGGAGCGGAAGCGGCGTCCGGGTCACGGTACGGGGCTGATTTGCATAATGGCGCGCAGCATGACTGAAGGCGCGCAGAATGTCAGACGGCGCTGCCCGCGCAGGTGGACTGACGAACGAACAACACACACCCATACCCATAGGGAGGTCGTTGGGAGGAGGACTGGCTATGGGTATGGGTGCGGGTTGTCGGACCCTGGGGAACGCTCCCGTTCGAGCGGGGACCCCCATCCGACAACACGCACCCATAGCCCTCTTCGATCCCCCTATGGGTATGGGTGTGTGTTGTTCGTTCGTCATGGACTGAGTTCGCGGTCCTCCCTGAATGAATGGTCCGTAACGCCATTGAGCAACAAGCGCAGCATGACTGAAGGTGGCATGGCGACGAGACAGCCCCATCACGCGGTAAGCCTGCTGGCGGAACCAAGCATTTTGATCTCTGGCGTAGCTTCACCAAATTTGAGATTCGTTCGTCGCCCCCCGCTCCCCACAGGATTGGTGCGAGAAATCAGCGAGTAGATGCTTCCGTGCCGCCGAGAAGTGCGAAACTATTTCCCGACAACACCCTCACCAGGTACCCCCAATCAGACTCCAGCGGGCGCTTTTTGATCTGAACATCCGCAATGGTGTCTTACTTCGTCCGTAACATGACTGGTATGTCCCACCAGTGATCCAAAATATGATCATGCAGGTGATCTTGCCCGTTGGTCTCAAGATGCCCCCGAATAACATCTCAATGTGATTGTGAATCTCCGCCAGCCCTGGAATCATTTTACTCCCGAGGCCCCCCTGGTTCCCGAGACCCCCTCGACCCTCGAGACGTCCTGGCATCCAGAGGCTCCATCTGGACTCCCCAGATCCCAAGGCTCTCTTGGCTCCCTGGACTCCCCAGACCTGCGTGACCCCCTGGACTCCCTAGAGCCGCTTGCCCCCACGGTTCGCTTGACCCCCTGATGGCAAGGCATTGCACGGCACGGCGCAGAAAGCACAAAAAGGGCCCGACACCTGGGGCCGCAGGCGACCTCACGCGCTGGTCTCAGCGGGCCGCTCGGGCCCCGGGCGACCCCCTTGAAGACCCGGAGACGAGCACACCAAGGCCATCGGGCCCCCTGCACAGAACAGTCACCACTATAGACACACACACGATGAGAAACACTGCTCTGCCACAGGAAGTCTGAGGAGCGCAGTCTTCTTTGTGCCCTGTGTTGTGTTCGGCGGTGGACGAGCCTCCCTTTCGTAGACCTCCCCTTAGTGAAAACGGCCCGGGACCGAAACCGACGGACCTGGACCCGCAAAAATGACGGCCGCGACGCGCTCTCGCGAACCGAAAACGGCCAATTCCTTAATCGACGTGTCAGGGTAGGAGGTCTGTCCACCCCCGATCTGTGCCGACTGCCCCGCGGGTATGTCGGCACCGCCTGGGGCAAGGCGAGGCAGGCCGAGCCCGAGACTGCGCTGCTGGGCCGAAAGCAAGATCGGGGGAAAAACACGCTGGCTGTAGGAGCGCGCGGCGTGCTCCGTCGGCGTCCACTCCGTCACAGCCCCTGGGCCCGCCAGACGACGAACCAGGCAACCACCCGGAGTCCCGCCTGGCGACGGCCCCGCGTCCCAGAAGCAGCCGCCGAAAGTACAGTCGGGGCGTTGACCTAAGGAACCCTAAATAAGGAAAAAGGCAACTTTTTTCCATAAGTTGAGCTTCGATGTCCCATGGAAAACCTCAGGAAAACAAAAGGCAAACTGCAGAACAATCAAGGAACACCGAGCCCCTCCCCAACGAAAAGAGTTCCTTCTTCAGGGCCCCGACTGTAGGCGTTCCTTGAC